GACTGCGCAGGGAGTGAATTTGGTTTGGGTCATCGTCGATCGATTGACCAAGAGTGCCCATTTTATTCTGATTCAGGAGAGCATCTTGGCTAAGAAGTTGGCCGACATCCATATCAAGGATGTGGAGACGCGGCACGGGGCATCAATTTCGGTGATTTCAGACAGCAATGTACGGTTTACTTCCAAGTTTTAGAAGAAGTTTCATGACGAGTTGGGTACTCGTCTACATTTTAGCAGTGCCTTGCACCCACAGACGGATGGTCGGAGCGAGCAGACCATCCAAACTCTGGAGGATATGCTGCGAGCATACGTGTTAGACTTTGGTGGTAGTTAGGATTCCTACCTTCCATTGGTAGAGTTCTCCTATAACAATATTTAGCACACGAGCATTGACCGCCCTCCCTTCGAGAGGTTGTATGGGGAGGTGTAGGACCCCGATATATTAGGGCGAGGTTGGCCATAGGGTAATGGGGAGCACCGAAGTAGTGCTCAGGACAACAGAGAGGATCTAGCAGGTCCAGAGCAGGCTTTAGAATGCTCAGAGTCGGCAGAAAAGTTATGTCGATAAGCGCCAATCAAACCTGGAGTTCCAAGTCGGGGATATGGTTCTCCTGAAGGTGTTGCCATGGAAGGGCATTTTGAGTGAAAGTAATGAGTGAAAGGTTGTTTCAATTGAAGTTGTGACCTAACAAACAACCTCTGACCGTCATCATGTGGAGTTTATGGCCACACCATGTGAGTTTACAGTCGTAAACACATGGTGGCCATAAACAGATGTTAGATACATGATATTCCATCATTTCTTCCTCGTTCTTCATCTTTTCAAGGCTAGAATTTGATTTTCTCTCAACTATCATCAAGAACTTTCATCTAAATCTTCAATCTAGTAAGTAATATTTCCATTTTCAACTTGATATCCTTCTATATCTAGTGAATATACATGATTTCATCCATGAAATATCTTCTTTTGGTTAGATCTTCAAGTGTTCTTCATTTCACCAAGAACACTAGTGTTTTTGGACCTTAATCACCCTATCAAGCTTCTATATCGTAAGCACACTACCCTTAGCTTTTTATATACTTGAATTACATGATAAACACTTTGAAAACACAAATAATTCATGAACAAAAGGGTGTTTATGGCCAAGGCAAACTCATTTGGTCGTAAACCCTAATTAGTGGTGCAATGGTGCCACTACTCCTTCCTAACCCTTGGACTTGAGTCTAGAACACTTCAAGGAAGACCATAGGACCTTAACACACAAAAATGTTACAAGATACCATGAGTTTACGGCCATAAACTCATTGGGCCGTAAACCCATGGGCCGTAAAGTCATGGGGGTATTACCATTTGGGTCGTAAACTCCTATGTGAGGCTCTACACACCTTAGATGCAACCCTTTATACTTCTACCACTTGAATCAAAGTGTTTTCCATGTCACAAGGTGTCTTTACTTGCATAATTAGGTGTTTAAACACTATTTGTGTTCATATATGTGTAATTATATGATAAATAGGATCCGTATGTGTGCTCAAGTCTTCACTAGGCACCTAGCATCCTTTATCGATCTTACATTCGAATCACTCACTACAGGTGAGTTCATACCCCTTAACATATCTTTTAAATGATTTTAAATGCTTTTATGGGGGGAAATACAAGTTGAACTATTATAGTTATTATATCAATCACATGTGATTAATAACTATCAAACATATGGATTTTCTTACATTTCAAACTGTTGTACCAATCAAACTGCTTCAAATCGTTTTATAATGTAGCACATGGTTCTTGGTATGTATTTTATTCTAGTATCGTGCATTTTTGCATTGGACTCGGTGAGTTGACGTCCAACTCATCGAGTCGGAGCATATTGGACATAGACGTTTAATGAACTACTCGACGAGCCTGCGCCTGGACTCGGCGAGTAAGCGTTGTCCGGACAAAACCCTAATCTGTGACAACCCAAACTTATTGCCGTTACATAATCCCGTCTTCACTAATGGAATTCGTCGTTATATAGATTATTTTCCGTAATGTTTGAAGTCGTCAATAGATAAATGTCTATTTATTTATATTTCTTGATATTATCATAAGTAATTATAATTTGTAGTGTTAACCTCGTTTAACTAAATAGAGTTAAATTACTTTTCAACCACTTCACCCGGGTAAAAAGTTTTAACCCCGTTAAACTTTATCATCGGGTATCCGTGTACCGGGTGCAATAACCGAGACATATATTAAGCAAATGAACACCACATTAAACCCTTTTACCACTCATTCACTCTCTCTCACTACTTTCTCTCTCTAGACCCGAACTCGACTCCAAAACCGTGAATTCCGACTTCCAAACGTAAGGGTTTCTTCCCTATCTTATTCTAAACATATTCCATTGCATTTAAAGGTCAAAAACCATAAGATTTAGTGGATTAAATGGAGTTTACGGACTAGGAAGCCCCTTAGGCCGTAAACACCCAAAACTTGGCCAAATGTCCCATTTTCCCTTCCTTTAAGCTTGGATAATAATTAAGGAAATAGCCTAGATGAGTTTGGACATGAAAACACAAGTTTTTAGGACCTAAAAGGGAGTTTACGGCCCAAGCTTGTGCTTAGTCCATAAACACCAAATTTCCATGCTAATTTGCCCCAAAAACTCATCTACGGCATGTGGGAATTAAGTTATGACCCTAGGAAATGCTTAAGGCCATTAAGCAACACATTTTAGAGCCAAAAGAGGAGTTTACGGCCAAGGCTATGCTTGGGCCGTAAACTACCCAAATTCCATGCTAAAAGGTCCCAAAAACCCACCCAAGGGCTTCTAGAATTTAACTAAGATTTAAGGGAGTAATTTGGACCAATTAACAATCCATTTTGAGAGACAAAATGGAGTTTATAGCCCAAGCTCAAGCTAGGACTGTAAACTCCCTCAAATACCACCAAATGAAGGTTTTAACCCTCCAAATTGGTCTTAGGCATTTACTAGAAAATGGGGGAAATGAAATAAGGCCTTAACATGCACATTTGGAGGAGGACATGAGTTTACGGCCAAGCCTAGGGGGCTTACGGCCGTAAACTCCCAAGGAGTGGCCTTTGGGCCGTAAACTCCAAGGGAGTGAACTCTTGGACTCCCCCGTAAACCCCTCTTGGCCTTGTACCACTCCCGGGAACCTCTTCTAAGCCGTAAAACCCCGAATCGATGCTATAATGCCTAAATACTTTAATGAAAAGCACAAAATGATTAATTTCTTGTAAAATACATATTTCATATGACATTAGGGTCCTAAAAGGTGCACACTTCGTTATTTGGTACAAAACACTTAACCGACACTTTCGCCCGATTTACCCGATTCACCCGATTTACGCGATTTCAGGTGAGTTCATACCCCTTTAATGAACCTTTCAATCGTTTTTACATGTTTTAGGGGGGGATACAAGTTAATGATACATGTTTATGGAATTTAATCACATGTGATTCACTATCCGTAGTTCAAATCACATGTGATTTACCACTATGTTTTATAAAAGGATTTTCGTTTTCAAAACTGTTTTGGATAAATAAACTATTTACTAAATGTTCCTTTTTGACAAGATTTTTATTAAATAAATTCCTTATAAAATGTAACCACACTAATATATTTATATAAATAAGACTTGAAAGACTTAGGACCGATAGCTCGCCTTATTTCCTGTTCTTGTTTGATTGTGGGCTTAGGGTAGTTATTATCCGTCCGACTGTCGTTGATTTCTTAGTTATATATCATATATTAGCTCGCCTTATCTCTAGAACACCTTCAAATGCACACACTTAAGCTCTTCTAGTGTTCATCAATCTATTCCTCACACCCCTCACCCATATATATATATATATATATATATATATATATATATATATATATATATATATATATATATATATATATATACACACGGGAAACATGGGCCTTTAAATGGGTTTACGGCCGTAAACACCTATATAATATTACATTAAAATACAATTTCCACTACTAGAAAAACAGCCTTTTACGACGTGCAATCAATGACACGCGCTAATAGAGGACACGCATTTGTGAGTGCCCTAAAAATTGATGTCAGATTTCCAAAATATGAAGCATAGTGGACACGCATTTTTGTGTGCCAAAAATTAGTGTCTAATAAAAAAAACACGGAGGGCACCTTAAATAAAACGTGCGCCGTCTAGCTATGTCACTTTATAAATATTAATGAAACATGCGTTTCATCCAAGGGGGAAACGAAATCCAAAATTTAAAAAGCCCGCTTTGTTTCCACCGGCTGAATACCCTAACTCATTCCCGCTGAAAACCCCCTTTCTTTCTTTCTTCTCTCTCGATTCTCAAACCTCCACTGCTTCACTTCCCACAAGTTCGCATCTTCGTCGCTTATTCATACAGAATTCAACAATTTATATGGTTTCGATTATTGGGTGAGGTACAGGGAGGTGTAATCATTTTGAACTCTTTACTAATTGACTTGAAATTGAACCCTAAAAACTCAATTCACACTTCAAACTTCTCTGATCCTCTCTTCTTCCACTCCCCAATCTCTGATTCCACTCCAATTGAGCTCTACGAAGGCTTTGATTGGTGGTCAACAATTTGCACCATCACCTCCTTGTTCGTTCCTAAAATAAAGACCTTAGAATAGTATCCACTCCTCAATCTATGATTCCACTCTAATCGGTTTGTCTCTTAAAAATCAGATCGTTCATTAAGGTGTACTTGGCCTTGCTATGTATATCCTTTTTCTGAAGAGAATGGATCGGTTGTGCTTCAGCAAGGAGTAGGTCACCTCATAAATTCAATAGGTACTGTTCTTGGTCCTGTATGTGTTGAATTCTCGATTGCTTTTTTAATCTGGTTTCCTATCACGTGAAACTTCCAATTTGCCTCTATAATCAAATAAAGCTTCAATTAGAGATATTATTCGCTAGTTACTAATCAGATCCGATCCATATGATTGCTAATGGTCATAGCATGGGCGGATTATGTATAGGGCCAGGAGGGGCTTTGGCCCCCTGATATTTCGGTCAGAAATAGCAAATATATCTTCAAAAATTTTAATTATAGGCCTGTTAGTGTACAAATTGGGTTGTGCCCCTCCCGATTTCAGTCTGATTTCCAAACCTAGCGACAAGAAGTCAAAATCGATTTGTATCTTACGTTGTTACCCAGTTCCTCCCCCATCATTGCTAGTCGCTACCTCCTTACCTTGCTCAGTCGCTGCTCGTTGGTCTCGCCATTCACCACCACAACAGTTGTCACCGGAAATCAGGTATGTTCTTCTCCTGTTCTCCTGTTCTCTCAATCTCTTGGATTCAACTCTTCTTGAAATTGGAATATTAGAATTAGAAATTAGAATTTACAAATCTGAAAATTTCATAAATCTCCTGCTTTGGCAAATCTGAAAATTTCATAAAGCTTCTTGAAATTGGTCTCGCCATTCACTACCCTTCTATCACTTGAACTTGTTGTTGCATCTGGCGTTCCATGTTGCAGGTGTGTTATATCTTTGTTCAAAATTGAATTTCACATTCTAAACTTCCTTTATAAAATCTCATATGGGATGTTCTTAATAGAAGATGTGCTCCTTATGATTTCATTGGCCTTCCACACAAGGTCAGTTTAGGACATAAATTATGCTATTATTTTCCCTTTGATAGTGTTTATAAGATCAGTTTAGGACATAAATTATGCTATTATTGAAACAGTTGATCTTTGCCTTAATAAATTCCATAAAATTTGTAATTAATAGTTATCTCAATTCATAGATGCAACATTATAAACTCAGGTGGGGACAATGGCTGGAGGAGCTACAGATTGTCAGTTTTGGCATAGAAATTTAGGCATTAAGGTATTAAAATCACATTTTTACGTATCACAGCCTTCTACTTTGAAATATTCTACCCAATATTTGTATTTTTTTTTTAAATTTCAGTGTCGTTTGCATGAATTGGCAAACAAGAGTAGGATTTCATTGACTGGCGCTTCAAAGATGCTTGCCAACATTCTCTACTCTTACCGTGGGATGGGTTTGTCTATTGGGACAATGATTGCAGGATGAGATGAAAAGGTCTATATAATACAATACCCTTTATATGTATATCATGAAAATATTAAAAATGAAGGGCAAAACAGTCATTTTACATCTGCGTTACTTTTTTTGTAGGGCTCTGGTCTGAATTATGTAGACAGCGAAGGCGGACGTCTCATGGGAACTAAATTCTATGTGGGATATGTTTCACTGTACTTTTTTTTGTAGGGCTCTGTTCAATCTAAAAGAAGCCTTCTGTTTGAACTGCAACAAAGATCTACAAAATTTGATTCTATAATTGAAAAGCATCAGAATATAAGGTATGGAACTTTGGATAGTAATTTTGATAATTTTTAATACAAACGACTAAAGTGAAGTAATTAGTAATGGTATGTGAAGGTTTGCACTGGTTGAAAGGATGTCAGTTCTTGATGAAGCAAATTTCAGTAGAAGGAGGAACGGTTCTACTTCTATTCCTTCAACTTCAATGGGAAGTAGTGTTCCTAATGGAGTTATTAAAACAACTGCTGCTCCTTTAGTAGACTGGCTTGATTTAGGAGGAGGATAAGAACCTCCTCCACCAAATACAAATAGCATGATGACAGGTGACAACTTTCTTCAAGATCTTCTTGATGTTGGAATGTCCCCATCTTCATCACAACCAGGTTAGCTTTACATTCAAATCATATCAGTTTGTTTCTCTTGTTGAAAATTGAAATCGTAATCTTGTGTGTGTGTGTGTGTGTGTGTATATATATATATATCATAAGTAACATATGGCATTTTTTACTTTTGTTTGTTTCAAATTCAGTTACAAATGCAAACCAGACTAAAAAAAGTGGCATAGATGTTCTGCTTGATCTAGCTATTAGGCTTTCTACAACTGTAGTTGTTATTATCTTTGATTAATCAAATAGAAGACAAGGTATCGTAGCATTCTCTTAATTTTTATTGCTTTTTGTCTCATGATTATGCTTTACATCATTAACTTTAAAGTTTTTGTAAGTTTAGTTTAATTATCATGAAGATAAAATCATGAAGTATTCAAAAGCCATGGTTGCATCTCAGCTTTATGAGGAACCTGTTGATCCATCGGTTGCTTCCCAAGTAATTCCTATCTCTCTTTTATTAGAATTATTCTTTTCTTTTTTATCATCTTTGAAGAGATTCAACAACACAAATTACATCTCTTGATTCCCTATCAGAAAAGTATATTTGTTGTTGGCATGATTTGCTGTGAAGAAGAAGGGCGTTTAAAGGAAAAACCAATCATTCTTCAAAGCAAGTAATATTTGTTGAATCTTTATGCTCTTTTCAGACATAATTGCCCTTACTGTTGTCCTTTGTTACTTGTTTGAACAGAGTTGAGCATTTTGGAGGTCAACGTGTGTGCCTTGACTTACAGAAACTAGACCAGTTTTCCTTTTTCCCAGGCCAGGTAGATAGTTAAAAAATGGAAACTGATCAAAAAAAAACATTTAACATAAACATAATTCGATAGGTGGCAGGCATTAAAGGACATAATCCAAGTGGGCACTATTTAATTGCAACAAAGATTGTTGATTTTGTACCGTTATCAGTCCCTGATGATGAAAATATTCCTCAAAAGAAGAGACAAGTTATGGATGAAAATAACAAGCCTACTGATTTATCTGATATAACATCAGATCTATCATTGGTGTGTAAAGCTTGTTCTTCAATTTACTAAAGTACCCCTTTAAGTTTACTATCTGGTTTCTCTCTGATTCAATCCATGTCATCCTTGAGCAGATTAAATCTTCAGGCCCTTACATCGTCTATACAAAGTGACCAAAAGTGTAAATTACTCTAAGTATTGGATGACTAAGAAGTTTTAGAACTGTATCTTTTGATTGTGCAGCCTGCTTTTGATATGAATATAGTTGATCAAGATTGGCAGATAACGTGCATTACAAATCCAGGAATGATCTCAACAAATAAGGTAAGTGTTGTTATTTGGATGATATTTAAAAATGTAAGTTGAGAAATTTAATAACTGAGTGAAAAAAATATTGGTGAAAGTAGGATGTTGTAGTGTGGATGTCCTGAAACAACTTAGTATGGATGTAGTGTCACTTGGGATCAAGAATCGCATGAATAAACTAACAAACCATCTGCTGAGTCGACACAGGCATGTTTTCAAAATTCGAATAATATTTTTCTTTTTTCTTTTTTCTTAATTTAATATTTTTACGTTTGTGACAACAACTTTTATCCTCTGTACCCACCCGTAGAAGACACTCCTGTGGACTTGTCGCTTGCTCCAGAAGCCCCTTCAAAATCGTCGATGGTCCCGCTAGCTCCGCTGTCGGAAATCCAGGTATTTCTCACTTCATATTGATACTGAAGTGAATTTACAACCCCTGTAAAAGCAAAACTATTCATGCTATGATCACAATTGATCGAAGTCTTTTTAATGATGGATTGATAATAATCTTTCTAATTCAGTCACTGCTGCATTGGATAAACAAGAATTTAAGTGTTTTTCTAGCTATGTTAACTGATTACATTGTGTGTAGATGTTAATTAGGTTTTATGATCGAATTTTGCATTTTGAGTTTTAAAGTTAACTGCTTACGATAAATACCTTGTGAAACTGCTGTAAAAACGAACCAATACTAAACAAATTGGAGATTTGTTTTTTATAATCCAAAATCACATAAAAGAATTGCAAAACACATCTGATCACCTGCACAGATTGAGTGTAAAGATGAAGGATTATGACTTTAGTTGTGCTTGTTCAAATGCTTTCAGATGAAATTGCAAAACTTTTCCCATCCCTGTTTGGGCAACCATCAGCAATATTGGTGCCAGGTAAATCTAATGAATCAGGATCTGCCTTGAAGATAGGAGTTGTGTTGTCAGGAGGACAAGCACCATGAGGGCATAATGATATATATCTGGGATTTTTTGTTAGGATTTTGAACTTCCATTTCCTATTGTTCATATTTTTCATACTTCATATGATAGATTGAAGGATTGACTAGTAACATCAGCAATATTAGTGCCAGATGAATCTAATTAGTAAAGAAAGTTGAAGGATTGACTAGTAAACGTAAAAGTAGCTAGAATGAAAATGACAAGTGATTTTGTGTTGTGTTTACAGGGTTGATGAAACCGAATAGCTCTCGAGTTAGAAGTGGAAAAGAAATCTCAAGCCGAAAGAGATAAGATGTTGAAAATGCAAGTGTTGTATTCTTCATTTCAATTGTTAGTATGAAACATAGAGTAGATTAGATGAATACAAATTTATATATTGTAAGAAATAGAATTGTATGACATTAAAGTTTATTCAATGGATTGTATTTGTTTTGTATATGGTATTTTATTCTATTATGACACATTAAATGCAAATTTAATTTAAAAATTAATAAATATATAAATATATATTTTTAAAATATTTAAGTTTACGATACGCAAAAATGTGTGTCATCTTCATTTATGACATGGCCTTTCTTGACAGGGGCTTTCTTGATACACATTGTGTGTCATTAACACGCGCGTCGTAAGGTTACGACACGCGAATGCGTGTCGTTTTCCTTTATGACAGGGTCTTCCTTGATACGCATTGCGTATCGTAAACGCGCGTCGTCTATAGATGATGCGCAAAAGCGCATCGTCTCTCTTTATGACAGGGCCTTCCTTGACGCGTATTTGCGCGTCATCTGAGCCTTTTACGACACGCAATGAGCGTCGTAAAAGGCTGTTTTTCTAGTAGTGTTCATAGAAAAGTAAAGTATAAACCATATTTTTGACCAATAATATCCCCCTTTGGTTTATAGCTTTCTTTTTCTTTTCTTAAATGACCCAACAAGCTCCCCCTAAAAATTAGATGGCTTTTCTTGTTAATCTTCATTGGGAACTTGGCTTCAGCATTAATCTTCAATGAATGACTTCATATTGATCGGTTGGGCTTTTCTTGTTAATCTTCATCGAGAACTTGGCTTCAACATTTATCTTCAATGAATGACTTCATCTTGAGCAGTTGGGCTTTTCTTCAAAACTTTGGCATTGAACGCACATTGGGTGAGGAGGCTTGACGTACTGATTCTTGAAACATAGCACTTTCAGCTTGACAATCTTCAGAGATAACATCAGAGAGAACAAATCTTATGGATCACTTCAGCAGGTTTAAGATAGCAGCAGACTGATTGAGGAGGCTTCAATGCAATATATCACATAATCTTCAAGTCAGCTTGACCTTTCTTCTGGGGTTGAAGGATTGAATGTTAAAACAATAATCTTCATTTCTTGCTCCTTCAAATGTGAATTCTTCAATGCTCACGGATGAAGCCTTGGCTCAGAAATTTTCGACACAAACTCCGTGAGTCTCATCTACACCTGAATTCACTTTTCAAGACAAAACAAAACTAAAAGAAAATTTTAGCACACAATATTTTTTATTTTTTTTCATATTTTCTAAAAAAGAAATAAAACTGAAATAACACAATTTTTGGATTTTTTTTTTTTAATTTTCTAGTTTTTTCTATTTTTAATTCTCCCCTGATATTTAAATTAGAAGAAAACTATGAACAAATTTAACAAAAATAAAATGATATCTAACTTTAAGAATGATTTGGGATCAAAGTTTTTAGACAGCCTTTATCCGCTTGTCGGTACCTTCTATCTTCACGTCTTTGTTTGGTCGATCGCCGGTATTGTGGTCCACTTAAACACGAAAAATTGTGACAATTTTTAGGACATACTAATAATTGTAAGACAAAGTGATCCTAAGTTCCTATAAACTAGTCTTAAGGACCATTCAGCTGACGACGACCAGGGATATTGTTGTCCACCTAAATTGAGCAGCGATATCTATAGACAACCTTTGAGTGTTCAATTTTAATTATACTGGAACACGTTTCCCGCTTCCTGATATGCCCCAGTAATCAAGGACATCCAGAGTACTCCTTACATTGGGTGAGCAGACAATCATTAGGAGAGAGGATAGATTCAGATTATTATCACTTATTAGTTTTAGAGGGATTGAGAGGTAAAAGGATGCATATGTTGTGTACCAGGTCAAATTGTTAGTCACGCAAAGGAGACATCATATGGCTAACAGATAAGAAGAATTTCATATATATAATATGTAGAGATATAGAGTTGCATATGTTACAGTCCAGGTCGGATTGTTAGTCACGCAAAGGAGGTAACATATGACTAACAAACAGATAGAAAAGAAAACAATTTTCTACAGACCTAATTTATCGGAATTTACCAGTCGCCCCATCAATACCGGAATTAAGGAAAAAGTTCGTACATCAAGAAAAAGTTAAACCACGATTCTAGATACGAGTTCATTTAATGTGACGAGTAGATTCCCATATATATCTCCCTGCTCAACCTATCCAAGCGTCGTATTGTCAGGCTAAACGGATCTAACTAGGTCAAGATTTTTTGAGTCTATAGATTTCCTAAGTTCAGCTCTGCCTAGTCATGTCCATTTAGAATCGTTCGTGCCTACCGACGCATTAAACCAGAGCATATACCCTTCAACTTTGGGTACGTTATGCAGACTTAGATTGCCTGTTATCACTTGATAATATCACTTCCCAAAACATCTCCCAAAGGTACATTTCATAACCAACATATATATATATATATATATATATATATATATATATATATATATATATATATATATATATATATATTATTTTCTAATGTTTTTTTATTTTTTTTTAAATTTTCTAATTTTTGTTTTGTTTTTATTTCTCCCCCTAAATTTGTGCATATGAGAGAAAAGAAAGTAAATGCGCAAATTTAAACTATCCTAAAACAAAAATTAGTCTTTAAAGCGAATCGGCTTAAGTAAAACTCAGGAGTATAGAGAAGAAAACTCAAACCGTAAGTCACCGATTGAATTTGCATCCAGAAGGTTTGAGAACAACACATGTAAACTCAGAACAAATTTGAAAATTCTTCATGTCATTAAGCACTAACCCCGTTTGTGATCTCTTCCTTTCTTCATTTCCCGCAAAGGACACATTCTCCCAAACAATGTTCTGAGTGTTGTACAGTTGAGAGATGTCTCCTATCATGTGCCAGGAACAACCACTACCAACAAACTGAAGTCTGATGATATGCCTCCATAGCTACTCCGACACAGAGCGAAATCATTTGGTCTTTGGAACCCAGTCCATTTTGAAACTGGGTTGACCTTTTTCACCCTTGCACGGTACTTTCTCCCATGACATATCCTGTTTATCACAAATAGAAGATGAAGAAATATTAGAATCATTAGTTGATTTGGGAGAGTGAGCCTTTGGAACCTACTTGTAGTTGGGTTTAACCTATTTAATTTTCGATCTAATGGGTGGCTCAGTACTTGCTTTGGAACTTGATGTCGGCCGTTGAGATGACTTTGAGTTTGGCTTCACGGGAGCATCTCTTGGATTGGACTTCTTAGCCGACATTCCCCTCTTGCCCTTGGGATTCAGATTCTTGGCCTTTTGGGTTTGATTCTTTCTCTTCTGCGCATTCCAGTCATCATGGTATGAATGTGACCTTGAGGGGTTTCTTTTGGAGTATCTCCCTCTTGGCGTGTTCTGCCATCCTTGTGCATAGTAAGGAATGTATGCGCGATTTGGACAGTTTCTGGCAATGTGTCCAGGTGTTCCACAGTGAAAACAAGTCTTTTTCTTCACTGGGAAATTGCTTCTTCCTGCCCCTGTTGGCGTGTCTTTGCCTTGTCTCTTGCTTTTCCCACACGCACAGTTGCAGCATGCATTCTGTTGAACTTGATTTGGTGGCTTGTACTTCTCAACAACAGGTTGATCAGAAGCATCTGAGTTTGAAGAAACAGATTCAGAGCTCAAGGAGATGTTGGTTTGTTCAGTGGTGTTCTCCTTGTTTTCATCCTCTGCTACTTTACCTGCACACGAAGTATATGTGCTAGAAACAGGAACATCAATATTTTCAAACAAATAGTCAAATATGTCAAAAAAATTAACTCAAAATGATCCGATGCAAAATCATCGAAGGCATCACAAGATGTATCATCAAATTTAATATCAGAAACAGAAGGTTGCTCATTGGAAACAGAA